TTAGCATGGCTAAGGGTCTGTCAATTTAAAATAAAATTTTTCAAAGAATCAACTTTTTGTTCTGTCAATTTTTTAATTGTTTCTTTTGCTTCAATTTTATTGATTTGAGCTCTGATTTTAATTATTTCCTGTAATTCTACTGCTTTTGGTGTTGATTTGTTCTTTTTACAAGGCTTTGAGATGTAATGTTAAGTCATTTATTTGTTGACTTTTTTTTCTTTTAAGGAATGAACTTCATATAATGAACTTTCCTCTTAGAACTGCTTTCATAGTGTCCCAGAGATTTCAGTATGTTGTGTCTTTATTCTCATTGACCTCTAAAATTTTTTTAATCTCCTCCATTGTTCATTCAGTAGCATATTATTTAGTCTCCAGATGTTGAAGTAGCTTTTATTTCTTATTTTATCTTTGATTTCTAATTTCATTCCATTGTGATCTGATAGAATGCAGGGTAGTATCTCTACTTTTTTATATTTGCTAAGAGTTCTTCATGGCCTAGTATATGGTCTATTTTAGAGAAGGATCCATGTGATGCTAAGAAGAAAGTGTATTCTCTCATTGAAGGATGAAATATTCTATTTATGTCAGTTAAGTCTAAACTATTGATTATATTATTGAGTTCTATAGTTTCTTTTGTTTTGAAGATCTATCTAGTGATGAAAGTAACCCACAATAATTGTGTTATGGTCTATTTGACTCTTGAACTTGAGAAGAGTTTGTTTGATAAACGTAAATGCTCCATTGTTTGGGGCATATATTCATAATTGTTAAGTCTTATTGGTGTATGGTTCCCTTGAGCAGTATGTAGTATCCTCCTTTATCCTTTTTGATTGACTTTAGCTTGAAGTTTACTTTATTTGATATGAGGATGGAAACCCCTGCTTGCTTCCATAGTTCATGTGAGTGGTATGATTTTTCCCAACCCTTCATCTTCAGACTGTGAATATATTTTCCTATGAGATGAATCTCCTGGAGGCAGCATATTGTTGGGTCTTTTTTTTTTTTTTTTGATCCAATCTGCTAGTCTCTGTCTTTCAATTGGTGAGTTTAGGCCATTAACATTCAAGGTTATTATTGAGACATGATTTGTATTCCCAGCCATTTTTGTTTATTTTTGGCATTTAACATGACTTGGTTTCTCCTCTGATTAGGTTTTTCTATAGTGTAATCCCTCCCTATGCTGTTTTAATCATTGTTTTTCATTTCCTCTTCTTGGAATACTTTGTTGAGGATGTTCTGTAGTGCAGGCTTTCTAGTTGTAAATTCTTTTATCTTTTGTTTATCATGGAAGGTTTTTAATTCATCATCAAATCTAAAGCTTAGTTTTGCTGGATGTAAGATTCTTGGTTGGCACCCATTTTCTTTCAGAACTTGGTATATGTTGTTCCATTATCTCCTGGCTTTGAGGATCTGGGTTGAAAAATCTGCTGAGATACAAATTGGTCTCCCTCTACACATGATCTGATTACTCTCTCTTGTGGTTTTTAAGATTCTATCCTTATTCTGTATGCTAGGCATTTTCATTGTAATATGCTTTATATATTTATATATTTAGATCTGTTGTAATTTTGTACATTTGGTGTCCTGTAAGCCTCTTGTATTTGGTTTTCCAATTTGTTCTTCATGCTTGGGAAATTTTCTAATATTATCTGATTGAAGAGATTGTACATTCCTTTGGTTTGAAACTCCATGCCTTTCTCTATCCCAGTAACTCTTAGATTTGGTCTTTTGATGCTTTCCCATAATTCTTAGATGTTCTGTCATGGTTCTTTTAGCCCACGGCCAGCACAGGCTTTATAGGTGAAGGTTCGGCTACGTGGGAAATCCAAAGGGAGTTTGAATTAAAGAGACAGACTCTAATTACCTTTAAACCAGCTCCAGGATGGCTTCTCGTACCCCCAGCCTCGAGCTACCCATTAAAGTAGCGAGGTTTACTAAAGAGGCTAGTGAGCAAGAGAGAACACGCCAGGGAGTGGACTTTTATTGGGGAACAAAAAGTTCTGGGGAAAATCCCGTCCAATGAAGATTAAGGGGAGCAGTATCTCAAGGTCAGGTGAGACAATTGGGTCTTCAGGGGCTTCAAGTGATCAGGCACGCCTCCACGCGGACAAGCCCTCAGACCCAAGAAGGGTGGGGAAAGCTCTAAACACAAAGATGTGTCTAAGCTCCTCTTGCCCAGCCGGGGAAGTAACTGGATCACATGCAAGGATTGGCTTCCCACAGTTTCTTATTATTTTCACTGTGTGATCAACTTTATTTTCTGGATTGTAAACTTTGTCTTCAGTATCTCATGTTCTTTCTTCCAACTGGCCTAGTCTGTTAGTTATGCTTTCTATTGAGTTTTTTATTTGGTTTATTGTATCCTTCATTTCAAGGATTTCAGATTTTTTTTTCAGAGTCTCTATCTCTTTCTTGAAGTAATCTTATTCTACCTATATTTGCTCTCTTATTTCTTTGTTGGAACCATCAATTTTTGCATTTATTTGCTCATTTAGGTAATTCTTTAATTCACAGATCATTTTAATTATAAACCTTCTGAACTTTTTCTCTGACATTTCATCAACTTTGCTGTCCTAAGGTTCTGTAAATATAGTATTCTGGTTTGTTTGGGGCACTTTCCTCCCTTGTTTTTTCATGTTGTATATGTGTCTTCCTTTCTTGCTGTGTGGATCTGAGATTACAGTTTCTTCCCTATATTCTTGTAGTACCCATGCAGATTGTCTGTATCTCACCTTGATGTTGGTTGGGCTTCAAGACCCTGCTGGTGTCCCTCAATGGGTGCTACTGCATCTAAAGGTGGTGGTGGCAATAGCGGAGATAACTCGAGATAATAGTTGAGGTGCCCCAAGATGGAAGCAAAGTCTTACAGAGATGGCACTGAAAGGGTGGGCCTCACACTCTATTTGGGATGCCTTCTCTGAGATGCAGTTGCTTCCAGGCCCTGTCTGTTGTCAAAAAGTTAGGGGCTACTGCATGGGGAAGGCTATGGCGATGACTGCAGTGTCCCAAGATGGAAGTGGGTTAGGCTTAGGCTACCAGGTGTGTGTGAGGCAAACTCAAACCTACCCTGGACGTGGGTCCTGCACAAGTGAGTGTGGTTGGATCTGGGCTGGCCTGGGCTCCTGTGGTAGTCTGCTGGTAGAAAGAGATGGTCCTGTGCCAGAGGCTGGGCTCTGGTGGGTGCCTGCTGGTGGAGGGATGGACCTGGGCCTACTGTCTTCTTTTCTTTTTTTGTGTGAGTTATGGTTTTTGTTTTTTTTTTGTTGTTGTTGACTAGCTCTTTAATAGATTGAGTTAAAATGTAATGAAATAAAGTTATGTATAATTAAACATGTAAGTAAATTAGTTCTAAATTTATGAGAGTTTGAGCAAGTAGTAGGATTCTCATTTAGCCCTCCTCTTACTACATAGTGGATCAGACTCCCCATGAAGTCATATAAAATGACCCAGAAGTTTGGACTGTCTGCTCTTGTCTACCTCTTGAGCCTCATATACCATTTCTTTCTGTATTGTCCAAACTAACTTTTTCTCATTCTTTGAAAATTGAAACTTACATTTGTATTTGCTTGGAACTTGATTTCCCGAGATCTTTTCATGGCTTCTTCCCTCACTTTGACATATCAGTCCTCACAGGACTTTCTCTAACCATCCTGTCAAAATTGCTGGCTATCCTATTCTGACATTTTCTATGTGTATACATTCCTTAGTCTTTTTTTTACTATGTATGATTACTAAGATTACAGAGTTATGTATTTATCTATTTATAATCTATCTCCCTCAGGAGGCAGGGACTTTACCTTCGACACAGATGTCATTCTAGTGCATGTAACAGGGCATATGATGATTTATTGAATGAATAAACAAAGTACCTCAATCCCAGATATCAACTGACCAATTTATTTTTGACCAAATATTTGGGAAAAATCTCTTGGAAATAACATCATATTCCTCTGTGTCTGTCCTCAACTTGGTATTTAGAAACACTGTTTTTTTTTTTCTTCTTTTTTTCTATGTGTACTTCTACCTTTACTGGGTTATGTGCTCAACTCAACTTTCCTTCACTTCAAATTAAGCCAAAAGTGTGATCCACTACTTACAAATTGTCTTTTAAATGTAAACTTATTCCTAGGTACTTAAATTATCTGGCACAGGCAATAAGAACTAAGAATAATGTAACTTACATCTTATGTTACAAATAGAGGACTTGAAGTCAAGGAAGGAAAAAACCTGCTACTCTTACCATCATGAGTGTTTGAGATACCTGTGGAGCTCACTCTATCTTCTTTCACTTCTCTCAACTAATATAAGATTTATATGTTTTTTTTGCCTGTGCCACATATTATTCAAAATAGCAGCTCTAACTATCAGTCTCTGGGCTGGTGCTGGTCTAGATGAATCAGAAATAACTGAGTAAAGTTAAAGTCAGTATTTTCAGGGTCTATTTCAAAGATTCTGACTCAGGAAATTTCTAGACAGTCCTGCAAATCTGTCCTTTAAAAAAGTATTGAAGTAATTATGAATCAGATAGGTTTGGGAGACAGTGGTTTAGATTGCTGCTAGTTACTTGGATGTCAAATAAAATTTTGGCTTAGTTATGGTTTTCTGGTAAGCACCAAATTTCTTTCATCTGAGCTAAAAAGGCATTCTCCGCTCTTCCATTAGGAGTAGAATAGAGATTATTAGAACAGAAAAGCTAAGTGCAAGAATGAAATATAAAGTCATCTAAAAAGTCAAAGACTATGAGAACAAGGATTAGGTGAGTGATTTCATAAAAAATGGGCAAGCAGTTATTGGAGGTTAGAGTAGAAGAGTCTAAATAGAGGCATGGAGGTCGTTTAATTCAAATTACCTTTTACCAAATCTTCATTTGAGAGTGATGTCTACTTTAATTAGTATGTTCTTGTCTATCAGTTGATAGTCAGAAGTTGAATTTGAGACTTTTTCTCTAAATGCAAATGAATAAAGCCACAAATGTCACCTGAATATGGAAATAGGGGAGATCAAATGGGGAGAAAATATGGTCCACTTATGAGCGCTAATGAATTTTGACTAATTTTAGTGAGTATCTTAATTCTTCTCAAGGCTACCTTCATGTCTTTGTTCCGGAGACTGTAGATGAGTGGGTTTACAAGTGGGGTCAACAATGAGTAGATCAAGGTTACAACCTTCTGTGTCCCAGCTGGATTCCCAGAGTTCGGGCTGATGTACATCATCGTAACAGTTCCATAAAACAGAGACACCACAACTAGGTGAGAACCACAGGTGGAGAAAGCCTTGCGCCTTCCAGCAGCTGAGGGCACACGAAACACAACTCTGAGGACCAGGGTATAGGAGGCAAGGATAAAGAAGAAGGTGATGAAGATAATGATTGAACTCAATAAGGAACAGGAAAGTTCAATTCCAGGTGCAGGAACACAGGACAGGGCCAGGAGAGGACCAGGGTCACAGACAAAGTGGTCAATGGTATTGGGGCCACAAAAGGGGAGTTGAGTGATAAAATAGATAGGCACTGGATAGCAGAGGAAGGCAGTCACCCAGCAGAGGCTCACCAAGATTGTGCAGAGACGATTGCTCATGATGGTGGGATAGTGGAGAGGCCGACAGATGGCCAAGTATCGGTCAAAAGCCATAAGGGGCAATAGGAAGGTCTCACTGATACCCAAGGAGAAGAAGAAGTAGAACTGCAGGAAGCAGGCTGTGAAAGAGATGGTTTTTGTCTCGGACAGGATGTTTCCTAACATATTTGGGACAGTGGTGTTGATGTAACAGATTTCCAGGAAGGAGAAGTTGGCCAGCAGGAGGTACATTGGGGTGTGGAGCTTTTGGTCCAGCTTCACTGCACAGACAATGGCCCCATTTCCCAACAGTGTCAGGATGTAGGACACAAGGAACAGCATGAAGAGGAGGACCTGAATCTCTCTAGAGCAGGAAAAACTCAAAAGTATGAATTCAGTCACCATGTTGGCTCCTGATGCATTCATGGCTTCCTAGGGCAGAGAAGAAAAAATAACATCATGTATAACCTCATTTCCTAAACCTCTGATATGTTCCCTTATTTTTGAGATTGTAAATTACTCATATTTTATTATTCTATTAAGTAAACTGCTGAGGAATATATTGATAACTATACTCTGATGACTGTCAAACTTTGTGAGAATGCTTTTATATCAGACTCTGAACCCTTTCACTCTGTCTCATTTTTCTTTCTGAATTTTCTCACAAATTAAGTATCTATGGTAAGCAGCTGGAGATGGTTACTGACAATAAGTAGAACTTGTGAAGGAGATATAAAAGTTATGTATTCACTTTCTTAGAATGACATAAAAAAGATCCTTCATAATAATTGAATTTTCTGAATGAGATACGCAAATTATAGGCATCGCAGGAGGAATGAAGAGAGAGAAAGATAATGAATATCACAATAAAGTCTTCCTGTATTTCACCTCTTATTGTGCTATTCACTTTTCATTCTGCATTACTGTTGAAGTTATCAGTGTTGGTGTGTACAATGACCCACACATAAAGTGTCAAAAGTGCCATCCTACCTCTGTGTTCAACAAATTTTGTTCACTCAGAAATCTTTGACTCTTTAGACATCTGCATAATGGTTTTGAGTTTGGTTCCATCATTTACGCTTATAAAATGTCTGTAAAACCTTGATCTATGTTAAGTTGACTTATATGTAGAAGAAGTGATAGTGAATTTGGAATATAGTTTAAGATATTTCAGATCTCTGTGTGGGGTATCAGGATTTCTGGGAGATTTTTGGTATCCTGATTTATGGATGGGTGAATAGGGTCATAGATGTCATACTCCCAAGCAGACACCTCTGTGTTACAAGGCAAAGGTGGGAGACACAGAACGTCTGTCTGGATAGGAATTCTCTCTTGTTTCTCCATTCCCTCAGTCACTTGAATCTCATTATAGTTGGAAGGTTGGAGTTGTTTGGAAAGTGAAGGGAGAATCCTCACGAGACCCTCCTCCCTGAGTTAGACTCAGTTTGGGACATGGTCTGACTTCCATCACAAGAGAGGGAAAACAAAGCCAATGGAATCACCTAAGACTTGTTTGCCAGAAGTTTTGTCTTAATATTTGATTGATTTTTAAGGATGCTTTCCATTAATGAGGGACAGTCATCTTTTGGTCCTTAAAGTGCAAATGATAGTGTGATGCTTATTCAGGTAAACGTAGGTACAGAATACAGTCCCAGACACTACAGAAGTTTATAGTGAAGAGTATTCAGTAATATGTTAGCTAAAAATATACTACTTTCCAGATCACATCAGGTCATACCTTTTAAGGATAAGTTTGATTATTGCATAGGATGGAAGGGACTTTGAAGTTTTCACAACACACCCCAATTGAAGACTCTTTTTAAAACCTGTGTATCGATCCTCTTAGGCATAGAATATCTGTGGGCATTTTCTCTATAGCAGGAATTCTGAGTACCTCAAAACCACATGGACAAAGTAAAACAGCAAGAAATATTTGGTGAGGAATATCAAGTGGGAGTGAACTCACCAATCCAGTGTGCTCCATTATCCCATTGCTCTCCCCTCCTAGAGGCTGATCACCTGCTCTTTGAAAAAAGAAAACATTGCTAAAATAAACATTGTGGTAATAAGAGAAGGCTTTCAGGCCTGCTCCTGATAACCATTTTGTGTTAAACCTTCCAAATATCACTTCACTAAAATATCTGTTCCCCTAAAGAGCTCATTCTCCCTGATTCCAACTTGTGGTTAATAAAGTTAGAAGTTATTTACTTCTGAGGGTTCTTCCTCATCCTCCTGTCCTTCACTTCCCTGAGTTTCCCAATGCTCTGGCTTGTAAAGATGAATCTCTTTCCATCAATTCATGTGACTTTTGGGATTATGTTTGTTCAGTCACACAAAAGAAGGAAGAGCTAAAGGGCATGGGTTAGGGTTGTTTTATACTTGTACCTCTTCTAAAATCATCTTCTCCAAGAATTGGTGATTCTGTCTCATCATCTTCTGTTTTCACTGCAGCAAAAGGCAGATAGGGCAGAAGGCAGCCAGCAACCATAGTGGTGGTGTACACATAGGCTTGGAGAGAGACTGGCATATTTACTATCTAGGAGAGACTTAATCTATGTTGCTCTGATACCACCTCCTTGTCTTAAGGGATATAGTCTTTGGTGGATTGCAAAAGTGGGCTTTCTGTTTCATGATTGTCAATCCCCAGTGTTCCCTTCTATTGGGAGCTCATAAGGGGGCTCCTGGGATCCAGTCTCCAGTGGTAATCACATTATCTCATGCAATTCTTGGTGCACACATTTATTTTCTTTTATTCACAGGTAACTGTTAAGATGGTGCAAACACTAAAGGAACACCAGCTTAGGTAAACCATGTTTATCCTGCTGTTATTTCACATTCAATTTTATTCATATTTTGAGCCTATTGAGTTTGGATTTTTTTAATTTGTCGATATTAAAGTTACAGCATTAGAATTTTTATATTATTTCTACTGACTTAATAAATGGCTCAATAAGGGCTACTTAATTTAAAAATTTTAAATAATTTTTTTTGTTTAAAAAAATTAAGGAACAATTTGATTTCCCTGGTCAGCTCTGTGCTATTAGCATGATACCCACATAAATATGTACTCTCTCACTGTGACCAGAATTTAGAAGCACAGACCATGGAAGTATATAGTGAAATGCTGAAATTCTTGAATACATCTCCTTATTTTTGCCTTTGGTTATTTCAGTGTTTTTAGCAGATGTCACTAAAAGTTGACACAATTTTGAAATTTGCTTCCTTTGAATAATTAAGGCATTGATTAAAATATGACACACATATTTAGACCCCTTATTTTCATTCTGCTTCTTTGTGTGTGCATGTGTAAGCATGGCAGGTACATACCATCTCAGGTATGGAACAGGATTGTTTTTCTATTATTTTTTTGAGATATCTTTAGTGAGACCAAGCATTGTTAATAATATGACTACAAGATATTCAATAAACAATGGAAAGATTTTTGAATGTATTGATTTTCTCAGCATTATTCTCATAGGGTAGAAGTATTTTTGTCTTTTGAATGGTAGCAACACTTTTATAAATGATGAACATTTATATCCTAGGATGCTCAAATATTTGGCTTTCAGAATGTTTATTCAAAAAGCCTTTTGTGTTTGAAGGCACAATGGCCAATTTTTTGACACTAAGTCTCTGTCAGAATTATTATGAAGCAAAAACTTCTATATTCCTCAGTGATGGGATATACTGGGTGATGGGACTATGTGGACACTTAAACTGAAGTATTAAGCTTCAGAAGTATTAGAATATATTAAATATTAAAATAAGTATTTAAATATAAATCGAAGTCACCATCTGCCTTTATCTTATTATTGGGTAATGACTAATGTTTTTACAGCTCACAGACACACGAAAAACTTCAGCTCTCCCAGTAACTCTAGCAACATCCCTGAACTATTAAGCTTCAGAGGTTAATGGAAAATTATGATAATGGGAATCAAGAACCAGGGAAAACCAAGAACTCAGCAGTTGACCACAAAATTGGTATAAAGATACCAAGTCAGAGTGGTCAGATATGTAGAGGCCTTCAGATGGCAAGGAACTAATAAAATGCCATATCTTCCAGGAAAAGCCATTTTGCAGAGTCTAAGGAGAAGAAGAAATAGAACTGGAATAAGTACCCAGAGAAGGAGATGACCTTGGTGTTAGACAGGAAGTCAGTAAACATGTTGGGGACCATGGAGATGACATAACAGATCTCCAGGAAGGAGAAGTTGGACAGCAGGATGTACATGGGGGTGTAGAGTCTCTGATCTCAGTGAATAGTGTGGATGACGGAGCCATTGCCCAGGAGGGTCAGGAGGTAGACAGCGGAGAAGAGCACAAAGAGGAGGATCTGCCCCTCCCTGGTGCCAGGGAAGCCCAGGAGGATGAAGCCAGTGATGGTGCTAGATTTGCTGGGGGAGCTGAAGTTTTTTTTGTGTCTGTGAGCTGTAAAATCAGTAGTCATTACCCAATAACAAGATAAAGGCAGATGATGACAGATTTATATTTAGATAATCTTGAGAAAGAAAACACATAGAGATCAATAAAAAATATATATGTAATATTCAACTTTATTAATCCTTTGCTCCAATGCACATTTCATTGTGGGCTCAAGAAAACTATTGGTCAGAATGGATAACCTTTCACATATACTCTATTATATTAAAGTCTAATATAACCTTCAAACTCACTCACAATACTCTCCTTGAGGAGTCAGTATATATATCCATATTAAATATGCATATTATATACATAATACTTAAATGTATATACTTTATGTAATATGAATATATACAAGATATACTATATATAAATATATGTCTTAGCCATAGTAACTCTTTTAAAAATAAAATCAGATCAGCCTCTCCCTTATATGCAGACTTACAATTAAATAAAATTTCGAAGCTGTGGTCTTTGATTTGAGTCCTCTTAACATCTTCAACCTCATAAGCTATTCTGTTTAACACACATGAAGAAAGTCGCTCTTTCTCATATACACTGTATTATTCAAAAGTTCACATACATATTCCACAAATTTAAGCCAGCAACTATAAAACAGGGTTCTTTGGAGAAAATGCCAGTCAGCTGTGAGGTAAAAGAACATATGTATATCATCCCTGAGCTCTCCAGGTTCCACTTAGGGGTGTAAATATTTGGACAACTCACATAGTAACCAGCATTTCAGTAGACAGTGATGTCACTTTTGTAAAGCTTTGTACAAAGAGCTGGCCAATCTTTCTTTAAATAGTTTAGGTTTGTGGGCCATTCAGTCTCTGCTGAAACTACTCTGCTTGGCTGTTGTATTGCAAAAGTAGCTGTCATCAACACTAAAATGAATGCATGTGGCTGTTCCAATAAAGCTTTATTAAATACAGTGAAATGTCATAAAATTATCATGTGTTAAAGAATTTTATTCTTCTATTATTTTTTTGGGGTAAAAC